ATCTATTATAAAATAAAGATGCTTCAGCAAAGGTTGCTATAGAACGTTCAAAAGAAGAATTGATGAAACTATATAAATAATAGTAAGTTAATGAAGTGTCTAAAACATAAACAAATAATAGTAGAATAGGTACATAATTAAGTGATCCTAAATTATTATCATAAGAAAGAGAAGATTAAGTTGCAAATTCATAATTTTAAGTTTCAAATAGAATTGAATATATTGGAACTTCAATGATTTAACTTTAGATATAAAGGAGAAATGTTATGGAACAAAATTATTTCAAATTGTAATAAGCTCCAGTTCTAATATTGTTAGTATAAAATTATATGCGTATAATTTGGGATTGTATATCATTAAATTTAAAGAAGTTATCAATTACTTATGTAGAAGAATTTTTAAGTTTTCTTGAAAAGGATAAATATCTAAATACTCCTATTTTTGAAAATGTGTTAAAGAGTTCAATCAGATCAGATGTTTATTTTTTAGTTGGATATATATATGGATAGAGAGGATAACATGAAGAGACTTTTATATTTTTTAAAAGATCATTTATAATAATCAGAGAATTTTATGATAATAATTAATTGGATCAATAATTAATAATAAAAATGAGTCTTATTTATGATTAAATGTCTAGAGTATTAGCTAATTAAGGATTTTATATTGATGCAAAATAATATTTAATGAATTCTCTTTAATTATTTTAATAAGTTAAGAAAAAAATAAATCCATTATAAATTGCCTATAAACATGCAAATTTAGGAAATCTCTTATTTAAATTAGGTTAATTTACAGATGCAAGAGTACATACTGAAAGTGCTTTAGTTATTTTTGAAGAAGAGTATGGAAAAGTATCAGTACCAGTATTATAAACTAGAACAAAATTACTTGAAATTTTGTTAGCTAGAAATAAGAATTAACTTATTAGAAAAGCAACATTATAATTAATTGAAACATTTAAAATTGTTTGTGAAACTCATTATTCTACTAAATTAGATGGATAAATTGATAGAATGATAGCAAGTTATCATCATAAATATGGTAATTATTCAGAAGCTTTAAATTTATATTTAACAGCATTTATCAAATTACTTGATGATAATGAATAAGGAATGCTTTTACTTAATTAATTATCTTCAGGAGAGAAGAATGTTAAAAATTTATTATAAATTAAATCAAGTGATAGAGCTTCACTTGATATAGCCTTAATAATCTGTCAATTATATGTAGATAATTTATAATATGAAAATGCTTATGATTTATTAATTAAATTATTAGATTTAAGTTAAGGTATTGATTATGATCCACCAGAATTAGGTAAAATTGCTGTATTAGGACATGATAAAGATGAAGATATACATAATAGTTCAGAAGGAATTTTAAAAATTATCTCTTGTTTCAATAGAATTGATACAAAAAAAGGTAATTTAACAGTTTTTGAAATTAGAAGAACTGAAATTTTTGAAATGCTGAAATCTAAAAGACATATCAATTTATTATTTATTGCAGATATTTATAGATTATTGGGATAAATATTAAATTTTTGGGAAAGATAACGATTCGAAGCATATTTCTTTGTTAATTACTCTTCAATCATTACAAAATATTATGGAAATCAATCTAAATTTTAAAGTTAGAAATCTAAAGTGAAGAATGTTAGAGGATAATAAATTGATGAATTTTAAAATTAAATATTTAATTTTTTAATTGATGCCTTAATTATTTATTAAGAAGCAATAGGTGACTATCATTCTCATTTTGTTGAAACATTATATTTATTATCAGAAAGATAATATTTATTAGAATAATATGAAGATTTATCAAAATAAGCAACTTAAGTCATTGGTTTACTTAAATAATTAAAATTGACATTCCCAATTAAATAATGGAAATTAATGCTTACATAAGTTAAAACTAATTTATAAAATTGTAAAGCTTATAAATAATTATTATAAATCATTCATAGATATAATCTTGATCCAGGATATAAAGATTTAGAGAATACTGAAGATATATTATATGAAAAAACAATGCAAAAAGTTAAAGAAATTATAAAAGGGGATAAGAAGAAGAAAACAAAAAAACTAATATAAATTAATAGAGAAGGATTAGCTGCTATTGCTTGTTTGATAAGATCTGAAGAAGAAGAATTTATTTATTTTCTTGAGAATCTTGAAAATCAATAAGAGGAACAAATTGTCACTCGATTAACAGTTGAAGTTAATTTTGCAAAATAACAAAGAGCTTTTTACGAAATTAATAATCTTTAGGCTTCCTCTTCGTCTCCCCATATGAAAAATTCGAATAATTAACCTAAGACATAAACTCCTAAACATTAGAAAGAAGATAAATCATTTTTTGCACAGAAATAAAGATATCTAGACACTACAAAAGAACTGTTACCATAATAATAGAGAGTTTTATTTGAAGGATTAAGAGGTATGAGAGCAATTAAAAGATTTATTAGAAGATATTTAAGAAGAAAAATGAAAGCAAAGTTAAAGAGAGAATAGGATGATAAACACAATATATATTTGGAAGGTAATGACTCTATCATAAAATCTGAAATTTCTCATCTTTTATATGAGATGAAATAGATAAAAATAATTATTATAACCTTATTGGGATAATCTTACTATAATTAAAAGAACTTAGATGAGGATTGATTTGTATCATAATATATAATAACAATTTTTCATCTGAAAATATAAAAATGTTTATCATAGTTCAATTTACATTTCATCATCCAAATTTGAACTCTTCTAATTTAGATAACCAATTATTTCTTCTGTAACTTTACCTTCTCTATCAAATTCTATTTCTGTCTTTTTCAATTATTCATTGACTATATTTTCAATAATTGCCTTTTAAAATTTATCTATAACTAATTTATGGCACTTTTATTAACAAATAGGACAAATCCATTTATTTTCTATTTCATTTAATTTGATAAATATTTCTATATCAAAACATTAGATATGAGTACATCTAACTCCTTTTCCAGGCTGTTTCATTAAGTTTAAAGTCTATATATCTAATAAAGAAACCTTTAAAGTATTTTAACCTATTTAATTAATGAATGATGCAATTTGATTTTTTGATTCATGAATTGATATTGATTCATCTTTTTATAAATCAAATAATAAATCTTTAGGACTAAAGACTTTAACACTATAAACTGCAAATATATAAAAATTTTAATTTTAAGTTTGTTACTTTTAATTAATATTCAATTACATAAGCTATTTAAATATTGATTATTAGTATAGAATTGTGATTTTATTAGTTGCTCCAAATTTGACTGATTAAGTTACAATATAAGATTCACCACTCTTCTAACAAATCTTTTAATCAAATTATATGATTTTTTAATTATTTAAATAGATCTCTCCAGATTCAGGCCAATTTAATGTATCAATATTTCCAATTTATAAACATCTCATTTAAATTTAATACTCTGATTCAGAATATGGACATTCAAATAATAAAGTTTTTTCTTTGTTTTCATCAACCAAATTGATAATTTCTGGTTCATGTAATACAGATACTACTTTTTCCAATGGACTGACAAATTATAATTGACATACTGGACACATTAGATTTGTTTATTTATCTTATTTTTATTTTTGTATACAACAAGAATGATAATACTCCTTACATCCTTTGCATCTTAGGATTTGAGTAGTTTTAATTAATTCTTCATTTGCTTTGAAACCTCTAAATTTACATAAACATTATGGACAATTCTATTTTTATGTAAATTTAGATGTTTATTTTGTTATAGAAGCTTCTATTTAATGATTCAATAATTGAATCTCTCTTTTCTTTATAACATTTATTGCTTTCTTTTTAGTTTCAAGCAATTCCATAATTTTAAGATTTGTATTTTTTACTATGTTTTGTAATATTAAATGCTTCTAAAATATAGGATCTTCATAAGGTAAAAGTGAACCATATATTAAACTTTTTAAGTTTGTAGGATTTGAATAATTAATTTCTGGACTATTGAGTAATGCTATTCTTCTAATTTTTAGTAAATGCTTAATGAGGAATTCTGGTATGACAATTAAGAATTATTATCTACTTTCAAACTTAGGTGCACTTAATAATCTTAATATATCAGCTTATTCACTTTCTTCAATTTCATCTAACCCTAATTCCATTATACACATTTTTATGAATAAAGGAATTTAAGTATCAATTTCACTTTTTAATTTTCTTAATTCTAATTAATTTTCTACCTCTGCTTGCTATATCATTACTTTGTGAAATATAAAAATCAATTTTTCTATCAATCCGAAAAACCATATATTCCAAATATTTATGTCCTTTTTATTATTTAAATTTTTATATTATTAATAATTTTTTATTTATTAAATAATGTCTCATACCAAAATTTTACTAAGATTTTCCTATTATAATAATTAAGCTAACCTATAATAATTCTAGATTTAGGATAAGATTTAATTATAATTTAATAAAATTTTGAAGTTGATTATATTTAATTTCATAAAAAATCTAAAAATTATGAGATTGTTCATCATAAATTTTGGTATTGTGTACTTTAAAAGTATAAACAAATAAAATGAATTTTAATATTATTAATTAATTCTCATATATTTCATATTATTTTCTTCTTCTTTAAGTAAATGATTATTATATTTATAAAACTTAATTTAATTTAATTATAATAAATAACAATTTCACAAAACGAATAACATTAATATTTCAATGATTATGTAAATTTTATCATAAGTATACAATGATTAGTTATTCTTCTATCTTTATAAACCTTCTTTTACAATATCAATGAATAATAATTGAAAAATAAGGATTTTTTAAGAATTAGCTTTTAAATATTAGATAAATAAGTTTAAATAAATATTGTTCTTATTAATATAAAGGAGTATTATAGTTTTATTGTATTATTAATATTAAAGATGAAAATGATTATAAACTTATTGGAAAATATAGAGGTTTAATCAAAAATCAATGTTTCAATGATCAAATTTATGATTCCAATTGAATTCATCCTCAAAAATATGATTTACTTTTGAAGGAACAGGAGTGAATTAAGAAAATCTCATAGAGAGTCTTTATTTAGTAGTAATTGATTCAAACAAGAAAGCTTCAAGCTTTTTAACCTCTGGTGATGACATCATCTTTTCTATTTCAGATGATTAATTATGTAAATTCTTTTTATCTTGATTTGATTATAAGTCTTTTGTGGATTAAGTGAGCTTCATTTTCATTTTACTCATTTATATTTATTTTGTCTATAATTATATTCTAAAATAAAATTAAATTAATAAAATTGCACTGGAAGCAATAAAATCAATCTAAATAAATGTAGTTTTTTTGTTAAATAAAAGAATCATTTAACCAAAAGGATTGTTTATTTATAATTAGAAACAATAAATATACTTGACCTTAGAATTATTGATAAAATTAAATTTATCTGTTATGAAGAAATTCGATAATTATGATTCATTTTTCAAACTAACAAATAGAATGTCAGAGAATTCAACACCAATTGGAAATCTATTATAAGTATAAAATCCAAGATATATTTAAAGTAAAAACCTCAATATCATCCAACTGTTCTTAATGGATTGAGGAATAAAAATACTTAATCCTATAAAACATTGTGTTCACCTTCAAAAATATTTGATTACTCTGATACTCATGAAATAACTTAAAATTAAAAAAATAAGTATGAAGCAAGTGAAAGAAAAAGATAGATAGAAGCAAATTCTTAAAGAACTATTAATCCAAGTATTGAAAAATGTAATTCACCAAAACAATCAAGAATACAATCAAGTACTCGTTACAATGTAAATTAGGAGAGTACCTACAAAGAACCAAAACGATAAGTAAAGTAATTAATATTAATTATAATTAGAGCATGTACACAAAAATCATAGGATTTCAATCATAGAATAAATTTACCAATTAGCTAAGTAAAAGTATTTTTTTTATTTGAGATGTAAGTTAATAATGGAAATGAAGAATAAGGAAATTCTAAAACACATAAAAAATCATAATCTATTAAGACTTTTGTCAATTTATAGACTTCTCCTATTTAAAATGAATGTAAAAAGTATATAAATTAAAATAGACTTTTAAATTTATACTGAAAGAGCAAAAGCAACTCAATATGAAGATAGTTTTCGTCATTTATTAACAAGTTATTAAAAAGCTAATTAAAATAAAAATGAAGGCAAAAAAAAATATCCTTAAAGTCGATTAATTTATGAATCAACTAAAATAGTAGAACAATAAGTCTTAAAACCATATAATAAGGTTTTTTAATAAAGTGAAAATGAAAAAAATGTATATATTAATTTAAGAGTATTTATTAGATAAGATAGAATAAAAAAGGGTAAGGAGATTAGATCTTAAATCAACAGAAATCAAATTTTCAGATTTATTGAAATTTTTATATTTATTTTCTCATCAAGTTATATTAATTACCTTAAGAATAATAAGAATAAATTAAATATATGAAAAGTTCGTCACCAAAAAATTAAATAATAATAGAGAAAAGAGGTTTGAGTGAACATATATAAGCAACATGTATAAATTCAGGAAGTAGAAAACCCTCGATTATAACTAAAGATGGCAATATTTTAAAGGGAAATCTATAAAGTCTTTAAAAATAAACAGAGATAAATAACTTTCAACTAAAGAAGGTTTCTAGTACTGGAAAATTACTTATACCAAAAAGTTAACATATTATGTTATTTGATAGATGATTAATCATAATAAAAATAAAAGCGATTTTCATCAAAAGAAGGAGATGGATTAAATGCAATTAGATCAGGTTATTTATACAAATAAATATCTCCAAAAGTAACTATGTAAGAAGATAAAATGAATGTTGTATTTATTCAGGAACTCAACAAATATTAAATAAATAATGAACCAACCTCACCAAAGTCTCCAAAATTAACAGATGCTAATTTATTTATGCATGAAATGTCATAAAATGGATTTTAAATGAAAGGACCCTAATCACCCCTTTCTCATGATATTCTCACAAATGGATAACTTAAAAATAAGATACCCAAGAGTGTTCTAAGTCATCATCAAAATCTGATACCTACATCTGGAAAGAAGATAAATGAATAAAAAACGAGCAAATAATATTAAAATACAGTAACTTACTTTTGAAAATGATTTGTAACAAAATATACAACTTTTTATATTATCATTATACAATGTTAGTTCTAGATTTGATTCTTATAATACTTGCTACAATTATTAAATCATAATTTAATATTATATATTATCATTTATGCTATTCAGTTTCTGCAATTAAAAATGCCTAGACCTTCCAAGAAATAAAATAATGCTTTAATTATATAAATCGGCAGAAAAATCATCTATTCATATAGCCTTTTATTTAAATTTATAATAAGAAGCAGTTTTTTCAAGAAAGATTAAAAAAATGTATTTAAATTCCATAGTTTAATCACTTGATAACATAAGAACATTCATAATTAACTCTATTAGAATTAGACTTACAAGATGGAAATACTGAAATCTAAAAAAAATTTTCAATTTTATTTTTCAATCAATAAATAAAGTAAACTTATTATTATTAACTTTTACTTTTAAATATCAATATAAATGTATTCAATATAATAATTTTATTTAAGATTCCATTAGAATCAATTTTTGACTTATATTAGCTCTTTTAGAACTCTTACTTCTATTCATATCTCCAGATTCTATAGAAATTTCAATAAATAAAATACCTTTATATTTGATTATTTAACTATTTTCTTAAGAACTATTTTTTGAAATAGTTTAGCTTACCAAACCTTTTTTTCTATCTTGTACAGATCCACTCTATATTATATCTTGAATATTAGAAAGAGAATTATTTTTGCTTTTAAATCTTTATACATTGCCTCTATAAACTTCCTTTGATTAAATTATTTTTTAAACTTCTACCTTATTAGCTATATTGCCATGATTAATGAAATTATAATAGTTTTATTTTAATGATTACTAAGATTTAATTGGTATATCATTTCCTTTTTATTCTACAAAAGATTTTTCATTTTTTAAATCTATTTTATATTATTATGATCTAGATTAAAGTGGAATAGATAGATTGTTTATTTATTAATTTTTTTTATTTTATATTTTTACTTAATCTCTTTGAGTTAGATCTTAAGATTATCTTCTATTTTCTTTCTCTAAACCATTAATTATTTAATTTAAAGAGGTAATTTCATTTTTTAACTTCTGTTAGACTTCATAATATGTTTAATTTTCTCTTTTTAAATTCTAATTTATTTTGAATAAGTTACACTAATTAATTATTTAGTTGTATTTAATAATTCATTTCTATTAATTTCACTTTCATCTAATTTAGATTAAATTGATTCAGCATATAATTTCAGTTATTATTCAATCTAAATTAAAATTATTATATTATTACCCTGATATGATTTCGTATTTCTACTTCATACTTTATCATATTTTATTCTAATTTTTCATATTCTTAATCAGTTCTCATACTGAATGTCTACTAAGGATCTATTATTTTTTCTAATTTCCTTAATTAGTCTTAATTTAATATTTACATTAATTTTTGTTCTATTTTTATCATCATATTAGTAAAAACTACCTTAATAATATCTGTCAAATGATATAAATTTTCATAATCTTTCAGCTCTCTTTCAATCTAATTAAGTTCTTCTTTAGAATCAATGAATTTTTCAGCATTAAGTAAAACTCTCTCTAGAAGGTCTTTAAGATTATTTTCTAATTTTATTTCGTTAATGACTTCAAAATTCTAGTTGTCTTCTTAATTCATAACTGTAAATTAAATAAAAATATTATTATTCATAAAATATTTAAATTTACTTACAATGAGTTAAATTTCAATTGAAATTATAGGTTTATTGATAATAAATCATTTAATAAATAAATTTTCGATATGTTAAAATAAAAATTAGAAATCTTATTATTAAGGAAGGAATAGTATCATTTTATGAATTATTTTAAATATAAAAATGTACATGGTTGCTATAAATTTTATTTGTTTTAAACTTTAACCTTTAGTATAATAAGAATAATATTTGTAAAAAAAAAATTAAGGATTTTTGCAATAATTAACAAGAAAAATATAGATGATATGAAAGGAAATAAAGTGAATGGAAAGATGAATAATTGAATAATTTCATTATTGTGAAGCTTTTCTATTTGATTATTATTGATTAATTGAGATTGAATGCTAAGAACTTCCTTTTCTAATAGAAATATTTATATTGTTTTTAAGCTTTTCAACTATATTATTAATTTTTTCAGCTTCTTCTTCAAATGACACTGCCAATATAGGAAAGGCAGATTAAAAATCTTCATCAGGTTTTAGTTCAGTTAATATTACATTTGATAATTTTGACATCATTTAGTTTAATGTACTTGCAAATTTTCGGTCATTAAAAATAAGATAATAATCTGATTCATCTATTCGTTTAATAATTTACTATTCTCTCATAACTCTCTTCACATTATTTTGAATAATAATAGAAATATTTTATTTGATCACTATACAATTATTTAATTTATCTCTAGTATGTTAAGGTAATTAATCCAGATTACCAACAAGATCTAGAAACATTGTGAATCTTTTAAAGAGCTTCATAAGGTTTTACACTGAATCCTCTAAGCCAAATTAATTTTTTAATTCTAAAGGTAGAGATTATCCAGCTAAGGATGTAGCATCGAGACAGGGTTAATTAGAAACTCGAAATTCCTCTTTTTATTCATGAGCTTTTGATTTACGCTTTTGGGCAGAGCAGACTGGGCCCATTTTAATTGTTTATGTACTAAAAATTAATAATTATATATTAAAGTGGAAATTTATTTTAGTAGCATACAAAAAGTTTTAGGTTGATAAATATGAATATTGTTTTGATATTTATATTAATTTATTAAAATTAGAAGGATGTCTATCATAACAAGATTTGCTTCTTATTTCATCAAAAGTAGAGTGATCAATTACTCATGTATATATTGATTATGATCAATCCATTAATAGTATAAGTTGATAGGATTATGACTGAAATGTGTAAGGCTGGATTTCAAGACCCAGAAGAAGGATTCTTAGAAAGAGATCCTATGACATATTATGAATGCAGATTTTATTCTCACATTGCTAGAAATTTGAATCCTAAACTGGAATCTTTGTAATTTATAATATCTAAATCTTAGTGAAGTGAATTAATATGAACTAGCAAAATAGAAATTTGTATAATTTGAAAATCTATACTCATTCATCTTAGATTTACATAGATTGACTTGGGAATATAGATCTCTATATTTGGAATTGACTAAAGAAATCGCAACACACAATACTTGGTTTAGAAGTGAATACACAACATTTACCTATGAGTATCATTTAGAAGAAGCTATAAATAAATACATTGACCTCTTAAATTAATTAAAGGATTATCCTTTATGGTAAGAAAGAGTCAAGGAAGAGATTGGATATTATTTGCATCTTATTTATAATTCTACAACACATTCCAGTTAAACTAAAGAATTATTTGCTAAATTTGTAATCTTTCATTTCTATATTTAGGATAAATTATATTTCTTTAAATGATAGCAATCCCAATGAAATATGTTAGTATTCACATAATAAATCTAATATATATATATATTCTACCTATTATTTATTTTATACACAAATACTATACTTTTTTTCAATGTTTTCATCTCAATCTAAATATAATTGATTAATAATTGTCTTTTAACAATAAATCATTAATATGGATTATTTAGTAATATCTTTAAAATTATATAAGCTTAAATTCTCTAAGATATCCTTATAGATATTAGACATTAAATTAATAATTAAATGATTGAAGATGATGAATCTGAGGGCTTCTTTTAATTCAAGCTATAGAAAAAGATAAAGAAGCATAGAAGAATACCTTTAAGGATTTAAAAACATTATGAATCCTTAAATTTGATGCAGACCAAGGCAACTGATTAAGAATAGTAAATCCTCTCTTTAATTTAAAAACGTGGGGAATGTAATATTTAGCAGTATTATTCATAGTCTATTCAAAAAATAAATAAATCATTTAATGGAAAGAAAATATTTCTGAATCTCATTCAGCAATTTTTGTAAATCTAATCAAAAGTGAATCCGAAACTTTTGAAGATAGTGAATATTATTTCCAATAACCTATAGATGATTTTCCTCTAGGAAACTATTCACACTGAAATCATTACAATAACAAAATAATGAAATATTTATTTGTTTTTTTCCAAAATAAACATATAACCCTACTTTTACAATTGCAAACATATATCTCTTAAATTTCATTTGCATTGATTGTTTTCTCTAAATAATATACTAGTCTAAAAATTAAAGATAAATAGAACATGGATTTTTACTTTAACTTATAAAAGAAATGTAAAATATTCATTAATTACCTAATCCGTTTTTTAAATCATAATCTCACATTAAGATAATAGACTATCTATGAAGAGATACATATTCATCAATGAAAATATATAAAAATTACTCAAATTATGATAAGTCTTCACAAGTACAAGAATCATTAAATAAACTACTGAAGATAAATAATTGTGAATAAATAACATTAATGATTAATTATCTAAATGAATTATGTTCTTAATACTATTCTATAATAATTTTCTAAAACTACTATTAGATATAAATCTAAAAAATTGTTAATTAACAATAATTTTATAATTTCTTAATAAGAAACAAAGAGAAAATTAAAATATATAAATATCAATTTGGAAAAGAGTAATAATTATTTCTTTTAATTTATTTGCTTGACTTTAACAAATTATATAGATAATATATTTTAAAGATATTTATTATATGTATTATATAAATGAATAGATTTTTATTACAATAAATTAATTAATATGGCAGATTTTAATCCTCAAGAGAGAGTCAAAAAAATGGTTAATGCTATCAAAGCAGAGGTGAATATATAAATAATAAATTTAGGCTACAGAAAAAGCTGAATAAATTAAAGATATGGCTGCTCAATAATTCAGAATTGAAAAAAATAAGCTTCTTAATTAATAGAAAGAAAGAATTATAGAAGAGTATAAAAAGAAAATAGAATCTTATACAATCGAGAAAAGAATGTAATACTATTTTAATAATGATATTTAGTCAACGATCTTCTAGAATTAATTAATCAAGATTGTCAAAAATGCAAGCTCGTTTTGAATTAATTTAAAGACTTAAAGAAGAAGTTCGTTAGAAAATGTCCAAATTAATATAAGATTAAAGTGTATATAGAGAATTATTGAAAAATTTGATTGTTCAAGGAATGATAAAATTATTGGAACCTCGTATTGAATTGACATGTTTGGAATAAGATGTACCATTAGTAAGATCAATTTTGGGAGAATGTCAAGAAGAATTTTAATAAATCATTAAAAAAGAGACTAGTAAAGACTTCAAAACAACTCTAAGCATCAATCAAAGTTAATATTTAACAGAGAAAAGTGGGAAACCAATGTATAAATTAGATTAATTGTAGATTGGGAGGAGTTGTACTTAGTTGTGCAAATAGTAGAATAGTATGCTCAAATACACTTGATGATAGATTAGAACTTTCATTGTAGGAGTTCTTGCCAGATATTAGAAATGGTTTATTTAGAAAATGATTTAAAAGTATATAGAATATATAAGATAAATAAATATATAAACATCAAAATGGCAAGTAGTAGCAAGAATCGACAAACATTTCACAATAATTTAATCTAATCAACTGTTATTATAGTTCTGAATTTAATTATGATAGATTGTTGGTTGGATTACATTTAAAATTCTTAAGTTTTTCAATTATATCTTTGTTTCTATAAAGTATATCATTGTATAATATTTCCATTTGTTTTGTATTCTCAATCTTAAAAGATAATCTATCATTTATTTCTTTTTTTTTTAATTTGATGTCATCATATTTATCTTAATTAAGTTTTAAAGTATCAATAAAATAAACTTATTATAATAATCTTTATTTTATCTATCTAAAGTATGAAGATTGATTAATACTCCTAATTTTATTTTGACTCTTGCTAAGAAATTATGTAAAATTGCTTTCACTTTATAAAGCAAGAGTAAATTGTTCAATAAAATAATTAATTTATTAAAATCCATTATTTTATTCACCATTTTTAAATAAACTTTACATTTATAAACTTGATAATGCTAATAGTCTATATTAATTTGGATGAATGGATTTTGTAAATGGTATAAAAAATCTTTATCCATAATAATCATAATAAGGTATTTTTGTATGATTTGGAGTAAAGAATTCTTATTAGTTTAGTAATTTAAAGGGTTAAATAAAAATTAATAATTGAGGATTCTTAATCTTTAAATTAGTTAAAACATTAGTAATATCAATTACAAATGTATCTATTTTATAATCAGTGATTTAAAAAGCACCATTTATTTTTAATTTTTTTTCATTTATAAGATCTTTAAGAAGTTATTAATAATTAAGTGTATAAATTCCTATTTGATATACTCTAGATATAGAATTAAAAAGTTCTTTGATGTTTTTATGAATATAAAAGGATGAAGTAGATGAAGCTCTTTAAAAATAATGATCTCTTAATACTAAATATTCTTCATGTTATTTACTACCAATAAAATCAGGTTATAAACCAAAAAAACTAGATTCATCATAGCCTAACACATTTTCAAATTGAATCATCACCAAATTATTTATATTATTTGGACAAGGTTTAATTAATAAACATTCAAGTTTCATACCTTCTAATTTTTCATCTACAACATTTTAAGTTGTTTTCTTTAAAGCAATTGTAGAATTTATATTATTTAATGTAGATCTTCTTATCATCAATTATTATTTAAGTTCTTTATAAGGTGTAACAACTTAATCAGTATTAGAAATTTATTTATGTTTTTATCTAAGTTATTCTGAACTGTGATCTTTCTTTGTACTTTTTGGACTTATTGAAGAATATCCAAATTCTTTTTTTGAATCCAAAATATAAGACTTTTCAAATGAATTTGTAGTATTTTCTAAATTTTTAAGAAGTGTTCCTTTATACAGTCTACCTGGAATTTTATGAACCTCATGATTATGTCCTTTAGAATGCTATGGTGATGGAGTGGTAATATTATTTTTCACTTTTTTAACAAATCTATCTGTCTTTGTCTATCTATTTGGGATATTTTCAAAACAATTACTAGCATTTAATATAGATTCTGCCAATCGAGTGAATGACTATTTCATACCTTTTTACTTTGCTGAATGAGGTTGTATTTCCTTTGATTCCAAATTTACTGTTCTTTATTTAATAAATTATTTATAATCCTTCTTCCAATATCCCATTATGAGTTTCCTAGGTGAATAAGAAGTATTAACTCTAGGAATTTCTGGTTTAGTTATTTGAGATACATAGTAATCGTTTGAATAATAATACTCAACTGGATTGTACATAATTATATAATTATTAAATGATTGATTATTTCATTATTATTATAACTTAATACCTAAGACATGAAATTCGATAGCCTCTTTAAGTTTTGTATATTTATCTATAAGATCATCAGGTATTAAAGTGAGCATTCTCATTGATTATTAAATATTAGCTTAAACCTTAGCAATATAAGATATCCACAAAAATAAAAATATTAAAAGTAAAAATCCTACAAACCCAACAAAATTATAGATCTATATTTAATCACGAATATCTAAGAAACTAATTAAATATATATATTAAATATATTTACTTATAAAAACAAGTTTAAAAAATATTATTATTTTCCCAAAAAGT